TAATGAAATTTTAAAAAATTTCAATTTATTGAATAAATATCAAAGTTTAGTGAAAGACTTTCTTAAGACTTTTATACATTTTTAAGCATCATAAAACATTGAAACATCAGCTGTTTCTAAATTTATTAGTAGGAAGAATTCCGATTGCACTTTGTTGAATATGCTTCTTTTTTATGTGATTCTTTATAGCGCGTATAAGTTTAATATTTCCATTATAGCGCCAGTTTAAGAAGACTCACGATGCACGTTCAAACTGGCGCTATAAAGGACCACATGAAGGAGAAACACAAAACTAAAATTACTAGACAAATCTTGGACCACAATTTTTATAATTTAAGACTGGCCGAATCAATACTCATAAAATAAAGACATCCGATAATAAATATTCAACAACTTGCAATCGGAATTTTTCCTAGCTAATAAATTTAGAAACAGAGGAATCATGGACTATGAAAACACGTAGAAGTGTTGTATTGGACAAAGTTGAAGATTGTAAAACTAATTAAATGAGCGTTAAGTATTCACTTTGAACAAATAAGGAGTCAACAAAGTAGAGTAGAGACGCAGTATATATATATTTGAGAATCTGGCCACATATACAACGTATTAATTCGAACATCGAAGATGGTATAGGAACACCAAAGATGGGATAGGAACACCGAAAAAAGTTTTTTTGTTCTATCATGCATAAAATAAACAAAAATTTTGGTTTTGAACTCAAAAAATTTGAAAATGATTTACGATCAAAACCGTTAGAAAATCGAAAAGTTAAACAGAAATTTAACTAACGCCGAACAAGCTGTGATTTTCATCAATAATCGTATTTCTGACAGTTTAAATCTAATATATATATATATATATATATATATATATATATATATATATATATATTGTCGGAAATTTTAAAATAATAAATAATAAATTAAAGAGGAGGAGGATTTTTAAAAGGGTGACAAGGCCCCACGTTGGGCGCCAATTGTCGGAAATTTTAAATAATAATAAATTAAAATGATAAGAGGAAGCAATCTCCTCCTCTATCTTTCTCAGGGAATTTTTGTATGGTCCGACAATAATTTTTTTTGTGTATATTTTTATCGTGAGTTC